AATCTAGTGACACAAAAAGGAGTGTTCCCATATGAGTTCCTAGATGATATTAGCAAACTCAATACAGAAGGTCTTCCGAGCAAGGATAAGTTCTACTCATCACTGTATGCGATCAAAAAGTATGGGATCACTTCAAGATGAAAACCATGAGAGATTACCATGATCTCTACTTAGAGACTGACGTTCTTCTGCTGGCTGATGTATTCTAAAACTTCAGGAAAACGTGTCTGGAAAGTTATGAACTTGACCCCGCACATTATGTGTCAGCACCTAGTCTGAGTTGGGACGCTTTCCTGAAAAAGTCAGGTGAAGAAATAGAACTCGTAAGCGATATGGATATGTTCCAGTTCTTCGAGAAGGGTATGAGGGGTGGTACAAGTTATATTGCTCATAGACACTCCTCAGCTAATAATAAGTACATGGAGACGTACGATGACTCGTCTGAGAACAAGTACCTAATGTACCTCGACGCTAATAATTTATATGGCTGGGCGATGTCACAACCACTACCTAACGGAGAGTTTGAGTGGGTTAAGGAAGTTGACGGTATGAATTTAGAAGATTACTTGGGAGACAACGGAAGGGGAATGGTTTTGGAGGTTGACCTGGAATATCCAAAAGAACTTCACGACCTACACAACGGTTATCCTCTAGCACTGGAGAGTAAGGAAGTCAGTGCTTCTATGTTGTCAAATTATGCGAAGAGTATTGCTGAGAATTTCCAACTGACAATTGGAGGAGTAACAAAACTAGTGACTTTACTAGGCCCCAGGAAGAAGTACGTCTTACATATACCTAATCTGAAACTGTACACAGACCTTGGGATGAAACTCACGAAGGTTCATAGAGCAGTTACATTCAAGCAGTCTCCCTGCTTAAGGACTATATAGACGTCAATACAAAGAAAAGGTCAGTAGCCCTTAACACGTTCGAAAAGAACTTCTTCAAGTTGATGAACAACTCGATCTACGGAAAGACTATGGAGAATCTTAGGAAAAGGGTTGATGTGAAATTAGTGTCCTCCAAAGACGACCTCCTAAAACTGACAGCATCACCGTGTTTCCAGTCACACCGAATCATGAATGAGAATCTTAGAGTGGTAAAAAGGATGAAAGAAGTGCTAACGCTGAATAAGCCGTGTTACGTGGGAATGAGCATCTTAGGCTTATCTAAGACTTTAATGTACGATTTCCACTACAACACCATTAAGAAGGAGTACGGTAATAGTTCGAGGTTACTGTTCACCGATACTGACAGTCTGATGTACGAACTAAAGACGGATGATGTATATGAGGACTTCAGGAGGATCGGCGAAGAGCAGGATTGCTGGAATAATTCAGATTACCCAAAAGACAGTCCTTACTACTCAAACCACAACAAGAAGGTTATAGGTAAGTTTAAGGATGAATCTGGAGGAGTACCCATAATTGAGTTTGTTGGGTTGAGGTCAAAAATGTACTCCTATATCAAGGAAAACGGTGGGGGTGGAATGACTGCCAAAGGAGTTAAAAAGTATGTCATCAGAAACAAGTTCATTCATGAGAACTTCAAGAATGTAATCAACACGAAGGGTAGGATGAGACATAACATGAATACAATCAGGAGCACGAAGCATACAATCGCAACTTATGAAATGAGGAAGGTTACTCTGAGTTGCTTTGATGATAAAAGGTATCTTTTGGAGGATGGAGTTACCAGTTATGCTTATGGTAACAAGAATATAAAAAATAGTGACTGACAAGTTCCCACTGAGTAGAAAATAATAATCCTAAAGGGTAAATAAGCAGGTAGGGCCCCCTGCCTTATGTACCCCCCAGGAGAAAATAAAAGATGTCGAAGAGGCTCCAGAATAGGAAAATTGGACGATATTGGAGAAGTGTAGGATTGCACCTAGGATAATCATATTAGAGTCTTAGCTGGACTGATAAGGTGATCCCGAAGCTCTGAGATAAGTTAAGTGAAAAACATTTTGGACAGACCTCAGAATAGCAGTTTCACATTCCAAAATAAATGGACCGTGGAACTGCTGAAGCCGGGAACACTCGTTGAGGAGCCGGACCATTAATTTTTGCCGAAGGTAAAAATTAGTGGTCTCGCTCCGAAACTAGTGGTCTCGCTTCGGCAGTTCCTATACTACTTATATATATATATATATATATATATATATAGTGGTCTCGCTTCGGCAGTTCCTATACTTCTTATATATATTATATACATATATATATATATATATATATATATATATATATATATATATATATATATATATATATATATATATATATATATATATATATATACCGTTCCACTGCATATTTTCAATTTATATAAAGGTATATTATATTATATTTAACAAATATAAAACATTTTCCGTGTTGATATACAGTTATATCAACACGAGTGGAAATTGGGAAAACGAGAAATTGTGTGGA